ATCGGTTCAGATGCTCAGCTCCCACCAGTACAGCCTGGCACAGGAAGGTCACTGCTTTAGGATTCTCTCAGGCACCTCATTCACCTTCTTTCTTTCCACAAAGCTTTTTTCCTCTTCTCTTTTCAACGGCATTCTGGTCAAACCCAAGGGTGTGCTCAATCTGTTCATCTTTTATCTTACAAGACAGAAAATAGCTGCAAAACCCATTAATAGCTGAACGTGTCTGTGTGTAGTGCACCCTTTTGGCAATAACAAGTTTATTGGGTTTTGTGAGGCCTGAGGGGAAGGATTGCCTAGTTAATATGGCTTGCCAGGGGTTTGAAAGGTTGCACTGTCTCTAGGTAGAACAGGCAAATGAACCATTTTTTTGTGAGCTGTTTCTTACTTGTCCTAAGTACCCCTAAAATGTTTATGGTTTCTGCTACCAATAAGCAATTCTTACTCTGATTTCCGTGATGCACCACCCCTCATGCCCCCGCTCAGTTCTGTTGAGACCTAGTAGAACTGTGGGATGGTTTGATAATTTTCAAAGAAGGCAGATTCCACGGTTTTACTCCTCTGAGAGATGGGAAAGCTAAAGGAGATTCCCTGCCTACTGGACTCAGCAGGTGGTTGGAGCAGTGCTGCTGCTCTGGCTGTGTCCACCTCCCCAGCCACCTCTTCCTGCCTGGTTTCTTGCCTGATGCTGTTCTGCTCAGCTGCTGGCCTCTGCACTCTCAGGTTAATACTGCCTTGGTTTCAGTTTACTCTTCTTTCATAGTGCTCAACAGCACTGGAGCATTTTCCCTCCTCAGGAGTAAGGAGCCATTTTAGCTCCTGCATTTGCCTTTGCTCAGCCTAGTTTTACCTGCCTCAAGGGCAGGTCTACATTTAGCAAATGTAGCTTCTTCATGGTCACAATGGACTGAACTGGTTTCTCAGCTGTCTTGAGATAGATGGAGGTTCATCTCAATTCTACCAGCACTTCTTTAAAGATCTACTGAGTTCAAGATAAGCATTCTTTTTTCCAAAATTTGTGTTAGTGGCTCCTGGGAGCTTTGGCTCAGTCTTTTGCTGCCCTCAGTGTGACAATTTACTATTAAAGGAGAATTGCTCTTAAGCTTTGCAGCTGCATCTCAGACCATCGTAATAAGATTTGCTAGAGCTTGCCTGAGCTTGTCAGAGCATTAACTGCAGTTTTGTTTGCAGTAGTGATAAACTCTGTATGCCCCTAGTCACAAAATGTTTTTTGTGTTACCCTCCCACCTTAGTCATAGGCAATATCCCCTTATGTGTAACATGATGCACAAAAGACGAAAGATGATCTCTGCTGTAAAGAGCTCCCAATCTGAATAGAAGGCAAGAGTCAGCAAATACACAGCTACTCCTATTTTCATGGACATGTTTAGGGAAGGACCTATGTTATGACTGTCAGAAAGAAAACTAATCTTCCCTCCAGGTATGAATATTTCACAATGTCTGGAAGAATCCACTTAGCAATTCAGGAGCCACCCATCCTTTGAGGAGTGCTGCCTGTGGGCCCTACTGCCCTCTTCCATGCAAGCAGCTCTCTTGCTTTGAGGAGGGAACTCATCTCGCTTTTGCTTTCTTCCAAGGGCAGCTCCTTTCCAGCATATTTTATTAAAGCTATAAACCATGTAAGAGCTGCATTATTCCTTAGCAAGTGTGTGTGGGTAGTGCCTACCGAGATAGGGCCCCAGTTGCCAACGGAGGTTTCTTGTTTCTCCTGTGTGTGCTCGACAGTCTCTGAAACCTCTGTGGTGTGTGTTCCTGGCACAAGAGTGGCCAGGCTGTGCTGAGGACCCATGGAGGCCATCACAACACAAATAATAATAACTTCAAGTAATTAAAGAAGCACTGGGGGAGAATTCTTCTGCATTAATTTTGCCTCAGAGCAGACTGGGAAGCAGGGAGAAGCAGAGTTGTTGGGATCTCGACAAGCTCCGTCTGTCACACTGTGTTTTCTTTTCCTGGCAGTAGGGCAGCGTGACAAATTCCTGCCTGTCACTCAAGTTGTCTTCACTGCCCAGGCTCTCCCTGGCTCACCCTGCCTGCAGGATGAAGCAGGCCAGCCTGCTCCCCGAGCACCAGGGCTGGAGCTGGGTCACAGCACCTCGCTGCCAGCCTGCCCAGACCTGCTCCTGGGAACAGCCACAAAAGCTTTGCTGATGCGCAGGGACTCGCTCGGCGGCCGCAACTTTACTGGAGCCCGTTTGTTTTATTGGTCTGATGTTCCTGTGCTGAGCCAGTGGCTCAGGCTGGCGGTGGAGTAAGACTTTGGCTGCCGTTATGGAGAGATCCATCTACGGCTGCTTTGTATCCCTTGAAGCTGCCCACACAGAGCAGCTGCAGCAGCGCAGGCTCTCGAGTGTCTCTGAGGCCCTCTCAGAGGCTGCCTCATCCAGGGAGGACGTGTTCTCCTCCTGCCTGAAGCCAAGGCTTTGCAGCACCACAGCAAATCGTGCCTTGCAAACTCAGGCAAACAGCTTTACTTCAGTACAGCGGGAATTTGTGTTCTGGCAGCTGCCCTGATGACTCGGGTCTTCGGGGAGAAACTGAGCAAATGTCTGGTGCTGACAAGGCACAGCCATTTCCTATAGCTGAATTTTTTATATTTATTTCTAGAATTAAGGCACAAGGAACCTTTTAAATGTTGGTAGGGGGAGACCCAGGCAAGGAAGAGAGAGGCAAGGAAAGGAGAGGGGCAGTATTGTGCCCATGACTTGGGACTGAAGCCACAGTTGGCTGCTGGGCCCCCTGGGAGGTGCTGGGGAAGAGCTGGTGTCCTATCGCTGCTTTACCAGACAAATGTATCCCTTGAGCCTCCCCACACAGAGCAGCTGCAGCAGCGCAGGCTCTCGAGTGTCTCTGAGGCCCTCTCAGAGGCTGCCTCATCCAGGGAGGACGTGTTCTCCTCCTGCCTGAAGCCAAGGCTTTGCAGCACCACAGCAAATCGTGCCTTGCAAACTCAGGCAAACAGCTTTACTTCAGTACAGCGGGAATTTGTGTTCTGGCAGCTGCCCTGATGACTCGGGTCTTCGGGGAGAAACTGAGCAAATGTCTGGTGCTGACAAGGCACAGCCATTTCCTATAGCTGCATTTTTTATATTTATTTCTAGAATTAAGGCACAAGGAACCTTTTAAATGTTGGTAGGGGGAGACCCAGGCAAGGAAGAGAGAGGCAAGGAAAGGAGAGGGGCAGTATTGTGCCCATGACTTGGGACTGAAGCCACAGTTGGCTGCTGGGCCCCCTGGGAGGTGCTGGGGAAGAGCTGGTGTCCTATCGCTGCTTTACCAGACAAAGGCATTGCAACACAGAGCCTTTGCAGGCCACGTTGGTATCCTCAGAGGCAGTGATGGCTGAAACCCCCAGCCCTGGAGGACTCTGCAATCCAAGCTGGCAGTCAACAGGCTGCTCTGGGATTTGCCCCTGGGAGTGCCTTGCTCTTTGTGTTTTACTTTGAGCTGGGGCCACATTTCACTTTGATTACTCATCTTTCTTTTTTGGTTTTTATTCTTTTTTTTTTTAAATTCTTTGCTCTGATTGATTTTGCTGGATTTTTTGTGCTTTGCTCATTAGGCTGGTGTGTTGCAGCATGACCAGCAGCCCTGGAGCAGTGGGAAGGGAACACCCATGTCCAGTGGATGTGAGAAATGTAACTGGTCAGACAGTGGTGCTAACCTGTGCAGCCTGACTCCTGTGCACTCTGTCCTGCAGCAGCTCATCACACTGCTCTGGGGGCAGGAGGAAGCCAGATGGTTTTGGTGTGCAGGTACAAGCAGCTCTGACTCTGCTTGCCTACCTTGACACTTGTAGCAAAAAGACTGAACAAAAAGACTGAAGCATGCCAAGCAGCCTCCTGATTCTGAAGGGCTGGATTGCTAAACAGCAAGTTTAAAAGCAAAAGAAACCACAGTCTTTTGCTTTTTTTATTTTATTGCCAAAGTTGAGTTTCCACCCAGGGATTTTTGCCAGCTGATGCTACATCCAGTCATAGCTGATACGGAAGGATATTTTGAGCATCTATCTACTTAGAAAGAACAAAAATACCCAACAAACATAGAACCTGTATTTTTCAGGTCTACTCAAAGGAAACCTTTGAAATCATCCATACAAGCAGTGCTTTGGCCTCAAATGCTGTTTTGGTATATCCAGGTTCTTTAGTCCATTTTTCAGGGCAAGGAAAAGGATGAAAAAGAGAAAAACTCTACAATTATGCCATTAATTGATCAAAGCAGGGGACACTTTGGTTCAAGTATCTGTTACGGGGCTTTACGACACTTCCCTGAGTGACTCTGTGCCCAGAGCTGGGGAGGGTGGCAGGCAGGTTTTTCAGGGCAAGGAAAAGGATGAAAAAGAGAAAAACTCTACAATTATGCCATTAATTGATCAAAGCAGGGGACACTTTGGTTCAAGTATCTGTTACGGGGCTTTACGACACTTCCCTGAGTGACTCTGTGCCCAGAGCTGGGGAGGGTGGCAGGCAGGGCCGGGATGGTGCTCGGGATGGTGCCCGGGGTGGGGGCTGGGATGGGGG